AAGAACCAATAGATCCATTTTGGAAGAAGTGCAGCCAGAGTGCTCCTTGGAAGACAAGATGGCCAAACTTTGTCTCTCATACTTTGGATATATTGTCAGGAGGGACCAGTCACTGGAGAAGGATACCATGTTTGGTAAGGTGGAGGGTCAGAGAAAAAGAGGAAGATCCCCAACGAGATGGATTGGCCAAGTGGCAGCATCAGTGGACTCAAGCGTGGCAACAATAATAAGGTTGGCCCAGGATCGGGCAGTGTTTCATTCTGCTGTGCATAAGGTCGCTATGAGTTGCTGCCTACTCAATGGCACCTAACAACAGCAATATCACTGTTATTTGGGGGTGCTGTCTCTCTGTAGGATAAGCACTAGACTGCTAATCATAAGGTCAGCTCTTCTAGCCTACCAGCCACTCTGCAGTAGAAAGGTAAGACTTCCTGCTCCCGTAAAGATTTACAGGCTCGGAAACCTTATTCAGGGTCAGTCTGGGGCACACAACATCACTTTACACTATTCTTTCCCAGCACCTACTAGGTCCTTGACGACATCGGCAGTTTCTGTATGGAGTCCTGATGTGGCGCTGTAAGCGCTGGACTGCAAGGTTGCTTTGAACTGCAAGGTCACCACCAGTTCAAGTTCACCAGCAGCTCCTTGGAAACCCTATATAGGGTCACTATAAGTCGGAAGCAACTTGAAGGCATTTAACAATTATCTCTGTAGCTTTCATTCATCCTGTATCTATTGAGATAGGCTCTGGGCAGAGAGCAGAAAAGACGACCGGAATGAATGAACCAACTTGAAGGCACTTAACAATTATCTCAGTAGCTTTCATTCATCCTCTCTGTCTGTTGAGATAGGCTCTGGGCAGAGAGCTGAAAAGATGACAGGAATGATTGAACGAGTCTATAGGTGCCCTGCAGGAGGTTAAGATTGAACTTGAATGATCGCTGAGACTGTGGCCACCGGCTGGCTCTTTGAAGTTTACAAGAGTGCACCAATCCCTGGTTGGTCCTGCCAGACTCTGACATTAAAGCAAAGTGGCAGGTTGGAGATGGGATGGAATCATTCTCTCCTACTGTCCAAACTGGGTACCCCAGTGTCTGAGGCCAGGGAGCAGAGCAGGGACTGGGCTGGGGGACTTGAGTGAGAGGATGGGCCCGCTGGAAGGTGGCGGATGCTGAGGGCCCCCTCCCGGGCTCCCCAACAACTGATGGCTGCCAAGCTAGGATCCCAGTCCCGTGGCTGCCCAGTCTTGCCATTTCTCAACAACAGCTGGGCATTTTAGATGTGTGTTTCATCTCCAATCATTACATGCTGGCTGCGGATTTGAAATTTTAGAATGGGCAAAACCAGCTGGCATGCTGGGTATGGTCCCCATGTTCCCTGGTGTGTAGCCTCGGCTCCAGTCCATCTGTTTTATGAATAAGGAGCTAGGCCCAGAGAAGCCAGGCCAGACAGCCTGAGAGGGTCAGAGTCACCCTTTGAGCTCTTCTCACTGACCACATGAAGAGGTAGGGTATAGGAGAGCCAGCCACCAGGACGCAGGTGGGAACGGATTCCTTTCCAGATGCAAAGTGGAGGGGATGTGGGACTAATTGTGTCGGCACCGTTGTCTGTGGCAGATCCATTAATAAGGACAGGCATCGTCCAGGACTGGCCTGCCTGGCTTGATGCTGTCCCCTCATGGATATGTAATGAATGAACTAGGAGGCTCAAAGTTTTGAGGAAGAGGGTTACAAAAACATGTCAAACACTTTACATAGATTGTTTCGTTTTGCTCTTTGAACACCTTTGAGGAAACCTGCAAGGAAGCCCAGTGCCATTGCGTCGATCCCAATTCACAGGGACCCCACAGGACAGAGTGGAACTGCTCCTTAGGGTTTCCAAGGCTGTAAATCATGATGGGAGCAGGCTGCATCATCTTTCTCCCATGGAGCCAGTGTTGGGTTTGAACCACCAACCTGTGGTTAGCAGCCCAGCGTTTAACCCACGGCATCACAGGGTTAGGGAGTTTCAGTAATTGACTCGACACCAGAGAGCAGAGTTTGCATTTGAAGCTCTCGGTGAAGTCTTCTCTTTTTCCCCTTGGTCCTTGTCCTCATCCCTAACATTTCAAACCATCTGTTCCAAGCAATATCGCATTTGGTGGTACCTAGTAGAACTGAACACAGAGTGTTGGTGTGGGGTTAACGGGTCACATTTCTCTTTGTCAGGAATGATCCCCAAGACCCAACAAGCAGCCGTGGACCTTGGGCTCCCAGAGAAGAAGAAAAAAAAGAAGAAGATCATCAAAGAGCCAGAGAGTCAATATTTCACTGAGGTCTCTCCACGAAGATCTGCGTCCCCCTCTAAGAATGGGGTCCAGACACCCGGGATGCCTGTAGTGAAGAAGAAGAAGAAAAAGAAAGTTGTCTGTGAAAATCCCCTAGAACATGAGACTGTGCTGCAAACCAAATGGGCAGACAAGTCGTCCAGCTCCAGGAAGCAGGCCCTGGGTCTTGCTGAGTTCCAGAGCGGGGAGAAGAGAAAGAAAAGGGGGTCCTGGTCAGCGGTGACTCCACTCCATGGCCAGGGGACTGAGACCCCCCTGAGCCCCAAAGAAGGTGAGGAAGGGATCAGAGTGGCCAAGAAGCTCAAAAAGCACAGAAAGGAGAAAAAGGCCCAGCATGCCATGGCCTCAGCGCAGAGCCAAGGGCTCTGTGAGGGTGGGTATGCTCACTGCATTTATGAGGTGGGGAAGACCTGGGAGGAGCTGGCAGCCTCGGGGCAGAAACAGAAACAGGGGAGCCAGAGGGAAGCCCGGGCCAAGATGAAGAAGACAAAGAAAATCTACCAGGAGGGAGACTTGTCCCTCAACCACCTCAAGATCTCCAAGACCACAAGAAGCAGCTCTAGGAAAGGAAGTAAAAAGAAGGCAGCCAAATCAGAGGTTCTAGACTACATCCCAATAGGAGATAGCCTTAAGGCCCCAGTGAAGAAGAAAATCAAGTGTAAGAAGCAGGAAGAGCAACCAGGTATTGAGGAGTCGGCTCGGAAGAGGAAGAAAAAGAAGAAGAGGAAAGAGAGCCAGGCAGCAGAACATTGTGAGGAGGTGGGTTTCCTTCAGAATGGACTTGAACGAATGAATGAGGGCGGGAGAGGGAGTGTCTGTGTGTATTTGTGCCTGCAGCAATGTCACGCTCATGCCTTTGGTTGTAAGAAAGGGGCATTTATTGACACGTGGACTTTGAATGGCTGAGGGTCAGCAAGCTTCAGGGCTGGCTGGATCTAGGGACTCTGGCATTATCAGCTATCCCTTGCTGTTCAAACTTGACCCACGAAGAGTTTGAGATAGCAGGGCATCTGTAGCTGTTCGAGCTTGCTGTCAACTCAGTGTTGGGAGATTAAGGACTCAGATAGATTTGGATAGCTGGGCGCACTTACGTGACTTTCCCCAGCTCTGGGCTTTGTGTGTTTCTCTGTTTGTGTTAGTCCCAGACAAGGGCCTTCTAACCCCCCGGCCTGTGGTAAGATGGTGCCCCAACTCCAGACTTTATCCTAGCATCTCTGCCTTCCCAAGGAGGAGGGCAGCCCCCTTAGAATGATTGCAAGAAAAGGTTGCTCTCAGGCAGGTTGGGACCAGTTTCTCAGACGGCTGGTGTGTGAAAGAGGAAGGAGTGAGGGGCTCGGGGTCAGGCCCCCTCCAGCCACTCCATCTGAGATTGGTGGAGGATGTGGTGAAGCCCTACTGAAGGCTCTACATTGTATAACCACCATTCATCAGTTAACAGTCGCCCTGTGTGGTACAAAGAGTTAATAAACTCAGCTGAAAAGTTGATGGTTTGAGGCCACCCAGAGGTGCTGCGGAAGAGACTGCAGTCTCCTTCCACAGGATTATAGGCAAGAAGGTGAGTCCAAAAGTGTTGCTCCTAGGGTTCTAGTTCATACGTGCACAGGTGATTCCAAACAAATGTGTGTAAGCAGGTCTCTGCCTTCGGGGGATGGTGGCAGGCAGTAATATGAGGGGCTTCAGAAAGTTCGTCAAACATATCCTGGAATTTTCTTCACAGACTTTTTGAAGCCCCCTGATACATTTGTCTTAGTCTTGTTGTTGTTAAGTGCCTTCAAATCAGTTTCAATCCATAGCAACCCAGTATAGGGTTTCCGAGGAGCAGCTTATGAGCCAGAACTGCCAATGCCAACCTTGTGGTTCAAACCAACTTTGCAGTTCAGCGCATTAACCCACAGTGCCTCATTAGGTTGCATTATACTTTTGTGGTCTTTAAAAATACGATTTTAAACTCAGGGCTGATGTCAGAGTTGTAACAAAGCTCAAGTGAACATCTTCCCAAATCACTGAAACTTTGCAACACAATTGACGGGAATGCCATCCCAAGTAAACCAACAGTTATAGGTAGGTCAGAGAGACAGCAGCATTGACAAATGAAGCTACATGAAGTCCAGAAACTGCTGGAAGAAGGTAGAATTGCTACTCAAGTTGGGAGCTCGCCTTTTATATTTCAGTGACCTGAAAGCCTCAACAAGCTTTTGTCTTGACGGAGGTGCATCTTGAAGACAGGGCTAAACAAAAGAACTGATCTTTCCATTGTCAGTCTTTTAAGCAAAACCAAAGTTAATGAAGAATGAATTGTAACTGGGGATGAGTTTCGGATTTACCAATACAATCCAGGGAGCAAACAGTGCCTTCCGAGGGGATCGGCTGAGCCAGGTAAATTTAAGCCAGAGAAGTCTTCTCAGAAGGCTGTGGTGCCTTCTTTGGGATTCCACATGGGTCATCTTGATAGATGTTCTTGGAGGAAACAAGGACTATCATGGGGCTTATTAATAGAAGTTTTAAGGAAATGGAAAACTACAGTGGTGAGAAAAAGACCAGGAAAGTTGGGCTGCGGAATTCTCTTCCCTCACAACACTGCACCTGCTCACTCTTTGAGGGATACAAGGGCTGTCCTAGAAGAATGTCCTTGGGAAATCTTACCCCAGCCTCCCTTTAACCCTGATCTTGCCCTTTCTGACTTATCTTTGTTCTCCAAACTCAACATTTTGAAGGAATCTGTTTTGAGTCCCTTGAGGATGCTCTAACAGCTGTTTTGATGTGGTTTGAGTCCGAGTGCAGAATCCTTTGGGGAAGAGTTCAAGAGCTGGAAACATCGCCTTCAGAAACGTGGAGACCTCGCTGGAGGATATGTCAAAAACGACAGCTTCACCTTTTGATATTTTGGGTTAATAAAGGCTTCTGTGCTTTTATTAATAGTCTTGGTGGTGCTGTAAGATAAGCACTGAACTGCTAACCACACGGTTGGCAGTTCAAACCCACCAGCTGCTCTGCGGGAGAAAGAGGAGGATTTACATCTTAGAAACATTATACAGGGTTGCTGCGAGTCAGAATCTACTCAATGGTGGTGGGTTTTATTTGAATGATCTTAAATGATCTTACAGCATTTTTTTTTTTTTTTACTTCCTTTCATGTCTGGGTATATGCTACAATCCATAGTAGAGTATACAGGGGGGAAAGTTATGGTAACTTCATCTTGACCAAACATCTTAAGGAGGGACTGAGTTGCTGGGCATGAGAAGTCAGCCCCAGTTAACATAACATAATCCCCAAAGCCTGTGTTCTCCTTTGGTGAGTAGCAACTGAGGTCTTCAAAGGTTGTGAACGGCCAGCAAAGGTGCAACTATTAGTTTCTGTATGGAGCAAAGTAAGGAAAATCAAAAACAAATGAAAACAATGACTTCAGAGACCATTGGCCCATGGGAATAAATCCTGACCTTGGGACCAGACGAACTAGGTGGTGCCTGGTTACCACTGTCAACCACTCAAAGGGATCAAAGTAGGAAACCCTGGACCCGAGGAGGAGAAACTGTGGAACAGAACTCTAGAGAATAAAAATGACAAGGTGTACTAGCCGGATCCTCAGCTGGAACCCCGAGCCTGTGACCCTTCATCACCCTTCCATCCTGGAACCAAACTCAGCCCCATGGCTGAACTTTCAGCCCACACTACACAGGCCTGTAAGATGAACGGTAACACCAGGAGATACACAACCAACCATAGATCAAAAGGGCAGCATCTGTCCAGGGACAAAGTTCAGAAGGCAGGAAGGGACAGGAAACGAAGGAAGTTCGAAGCGTGCTGTTCCGTTGTGGGGATGGCAGTCAACGTCATGAGTCAAATGTGAACCCAGTTTAAACTTTCACCCAAATCACAAAGAAAAGACTGCAATCCTTGGAAACGCTCTGGAGCACGGCATTATCTGACCTGCGGGGGTCACCATGAGTCCAGCGTGTTAACTGCACCACCCAGGGACCTGATGGAGCAGGAGGAGCCTGTATGGGTGGATGAGAGCTGTGACGGGGAACGGGTTAGACATTGTCACCGGGGCCAGGACAGAGGGAGAGAATGGTGGTTTGGTTTGGTGGTCAGGCACCCCTGACAGAGTCTTGCCCTCTCTCTCTGGCTGGTATGGTGGCAGCTGTCGGGAGTCAGGTTGTCCCAAGCTTTGGAGTAACCTTGTGGTAATCTCTTCACCTGAGTCTCAGTTTCTTAGCCATTGAGGGTGGAGCATCAGGGAGGAAATAGGATGGAAAGGGCTTTGCTGACGTGAGATGTTGTATAGGCGGCAGAGGTTGGCATAATGACGTGTGTTTGGGGTCTTTGCTGGGCTTTGTTACGGTCTCAACTGTCCCGCTGGGCCACTACGCTGGCCTCTCACCTGGCTTTGCGCTCTTGTGCAGGAACCAGACTCAGACTTAGAAGTGGTCTTGGAAAAGAAGGGCAACATGGATGAGGTCCACATAGACCAGGTATGACCCAGGCCCTCCCCGCCACGCTTGCCGTGCCAGGCTACTTCTCAGGGGCACACAGGGACTCCCCGACCCCATGCTTGTTTGGAATCCCAAGCCAGGGCACTCGCCCCTATGACCTGCCCAGCCAGGCTGCCGGCTGCCACCCCCTGAACGATGAATTCAGGACCGCTCAGAGGAGACCAGCTTCCGATGCAGTCTGGCACTTGTGCCTTGTGTGGGAACAGGATGCTCTGAAATGGCGTGTTTTTATGCCCCAGGACCCCAAGCCTGCATTGAGCTACTTACTTTCCAGAAGTCACTGACCTCACTGACCCTGAGTCTCCCTCTCTGTAAGCTGGGTCCCTGATGGCTGGTGCCTTCCCGGATGCTGGGAGAACACACGGCTCGGGCTGCACCTGTTTACTCAACAAGGGCCTGCCCCTCCAGGAGAGAGAGAAACGAGTGTGGAGGAAGGAGATGTCCAAGATGATGGGGTGTCAGGCACAGACTGGGGAATGTGTGGCGTACCTCAAAGCAGTGAGAATGCCAGGACCTGACCCCCAAATAGAGCTTCCAGGGCTCCAGAACCCTGTCCTCAGACCTCAGGCATCCTCAGGCCTCAGGACCTGGCAGAACCCTGGAGCCCTGAGCATTTGATCTGACCAGGGCCCACCTGCAAGCCTTCTGCTTGCTCTCTGTTTGTGTCTGTTGAAAATTTAAGGAGTCTCTGGTGCCACAAATGGCTAAGTGCTCAACTACAAGCTGAAGGGTGGTGGTCTGTCCCCCCAGAAGCACCCTGGAAAGTAGGCCTGGCATTGACTTCCAAAAGGCCACAGCCCTGATTGCCCCATGGAGTGGTTCTACTCTGCACTCATGGGGTCGCCCTGAGTCAGACTGAACTCCACAGCACCCTCGAACCATGACCGCCGAAGGCTTCTGACGGCCTCCCTCCTCGTGAGACTTTGTGTGCCACGTTCTCTGTTCCCCATTACAGAAGTACTGCAAGTTCCTTAGGATTAAAAAGCCTCACCTGAAATCATACCGCCCAGTGGCTGTTCACTCTTAACCATTCTGTTCTTTCTAGAGCTTTTCTTGCGTGTATTTTTAATATATAATCAGGCTATGCTTTGGTTGGTTATGTGCTGTGGAGTCGTCGTTGACTCACAGTGACCCTGTACAGGGTTTCCGAGGCTGTAAATCTTTACGGGAGCAGAAAACCTAGAGGTCCTTTAAACTTTATTTCACTGATGAGCTGCTTTCCAGCTCCACCTCACACCATCTGCATCCGCCCCTGTGCCTCAACGCTGCACGCCTACATATCCCTCCACTGTCAGGGTGCACCTCTGACCCACTTCACACCATCTGCATCCGCCCCTGTGCCTCAGCGCTGCACACCTGCATGTCCCTCCACTGTCAGGGTGCTCTCCGCGGATGTGACGCCTGAAACCGCTGCAGGGCTGCTGCCTTCCCTCCCTCTCTCTGCGGCTGCCACTTTGACTCTGGTTAGATAGAGGTCGTGTTCAATAGTATCAACAGTTATTCCGTATCTCAGGCAGTAGAAAGGCCATAGATTGGGGTGAGGCTCTGGAAGTTTCTCTGGAACAGTGACATCAGTGATGCTCAGCCTCAGTCAGACCCGCAGCCACTTTGTGACAACTGCTCTGCAAGGTTCTTTCTGTGGATACATTTCTGTCTCCCATTTGTCCTCCAGGCTACGTGGGGTCTTCAAAAAGGGCGTGGACCAAATGGAATTAAAAGATAGTGGAACTTCGACGCAGCTTTTAAAGCCGATAGAATCTCATATCTATATTTCCATCTGTTTGCTGAGAGACCAGTGTTCAGAAAGGTTAAATGACTTGTCTAAGGCTGCACAACTAGTTATTGGCAGTGCTGGGATTCAAGCCAGCCTCTGCCTAAGCTCATAGTTCTGTCTTCTTTCTAGAAAATGATGCTGTGGTGAAGGTAGGCTAAAGTTTAGTGTTCTCCAAACAAGAAGGCAGGACCTCAGGCAATGCATTTTAGGGAAGTTTTCACCCATCATGGTTATTGCAAACACAGAAGTCATGCAAAAGGTGGGTAAGCTTCAGTCTAGGAGAGTCCACTCAGAGGCCAGGGATAAGAGGACACCTGCCTGCTCTCAGCCCTCCAAGATGCATTTGACAAACCCTTCACACAGTGTAGGCAACGGATGAGCTTGGGGGTGGGGTTGGGGTCCCTCCTCTGCCACCCCCCACCCTGGCTTCACGCTCCAAAGACAACTTCTGTGGCGCTTTCTAACTCTCTTCCCCCTTAACTCAGGTGAGGCGAAAGGCCTTGCAGGAAGAGATTGATCGCGAGTCGGGCAAGACGGAAGCTTCTGAAACCACGAAGTGGACAGTAAGTTTGACACTAGGGTCCTGCAAGGTGGTGTGCTCAGCACCCCTGCCCACCCCCTGGTGCCACAGAACTGGTCCTGAGCTAATCCCTCCCTTCCGGAAGGGCCACTACTTGTCCTCCCCACATCCTGGGCCTCTGGCCAAGGGTAGTAAGCAGCCTGAACCTTGGTCCCCGTCTGGCAGGTGATGTGTCCTGTAGTGTAAGTTGCTGAGGGCACATTCCAGCGAGCCCTTTTCCATGGTGGACGGTGCTCCTGGAAAGCTGGTGGGAACAGGAGGCTGGGCTGAGGGCGTGGCAGGTACCTCAGAACCGTTTGCGTGAGAAGTTTCCCGGACAGGGAGGAGCGAGTGCAGTGCCAGCACCCGGTGGGCAGCTCACAGGCTGACTGTCCACCACCTCCCTGAAGTCATCCACTGTGCACCAGGCACTGCGCTCCGCACTTGTGGGCGCGATGGCACCCAGGGCATCAGGGATCCCTCATTTTCAAAACCAGTGCCCATGGACAGGGGCTACGGTTAGGAAACCAGGAGGGGAAGATGGGTTCGGACCCAATGCTGTGAGACAGGACACCAGAAAAGGAGCAGCTGAGAGAGAGTGGGGGCAGGGAGGCTTCCCTGAGAGTCAGATGCAGGCGTGGGGGGCCAGCCCTTGAAGGCCGGGTTGGGGGTGGAATGTAGAGTCCTAAAGGTGGACAACGATTTGGACTGTCCAATAAAGGTGGCCAGTGTTGGCAGAGGGGCTGGGTGGACAGGGTTGCTGCTGAGGGCCCCTTACTAGGAGCAGAGTGTGTGTTGGGGGGGACGGGGGAGGCCAGTCAGAAGGCTCATCCTATGGCTGGGAGCCGTAGGATTGACTTTGGAGGCACAGTCAACAGGACTAGTGCAGAGCTGTGGGGAGAGGGACAGAGAAGAACTAAGGATGCCAGGCAGGCAGGCTAGCCCCTGGCTCTTCCTTAAGCCATCAGAGTGTTCAGAAAATCGAAAACTCTGGTCTCCACCCCCAGCTCAGTCACTCTGCACTGTGGGATTCTAGGCAAGTACCTTCACCTTTCTGAGCCTCAGCTTCCACATCTGTAAAACGGGACTCACACCCCATAGGACTTTATCCTGTGTCCTTCCTCTGTCCTGAGCTGAGTGAGCAGAGCTGACAAGATGCCTGGAATGTGCGAGGTGGGAAAGAAACAGGTCCTCAACCCTGCAAGGCTTTACATGGAAGGACCTCGGGGCCGGAGAGTGATTCAGGTGCACTTGAGGTATAGTGTTGCCTCCCAGGACCAAGGACCACATCAGCACCAATGGATCAGCAGCTCTCAGAAGAGTCAACTCAGCCAGGACCGGCCTCCAGGCAACGCCGTCCCCAGAGCCTGTGCAGGCTATAGTCTCTCATGAGAAATGGGCCTGGGAGCTGATTGTCCCTGCTTCGGGGCCACTGTGAAGCTGGGGGAACTCGTCACCACTGTACGCAGGGCAGCTCTAGCACCAGCTGCTTACTGTTCTCCCAGAATCCACCTAGAAACACTTAGGCCAGCATCTGGCTTGCTAGCAGAAGTGTACATGGGATTGAATCCTAGGCCAGGAGGCAGGTGAGGTTGAGGACTTCACGTGCCAAGAGGATGAGCTCCTTGCTGGTATTGGTGGTGAGTCTGGGTCTGGTTTGGAGATGAAGGCATTAAGCTCAGAGAGGTTAGGTGGCTTGGCCAGGGCCACACAGGGAATCTTGAACCTCCTTAGGGGGAGCAGGGTGTCGGCTCTCGCCCAGACCATGGGAAGGCGCAGGGTCTTTGCTCTGAGGGGCTCTTTGATGTGTGGAGAGCACTGGTCAGCTGCTGCATGTTTTGCCCTGAGATTTAGAGGAAGAAAGAAAACCAAGGCAACTCAGCATGGAAAGGTGCTCGTGGTCGCCAGTCCCGATTTGGGGTGGATCCTAGTGGGGTTAGTTGTGCCCCGGTGATGTTGTAATGGCACATCAACAGTGTCCCTCTTGGGATCAGGACAGTCCACTGGAGTGCTCAGAGCTCTGTGCCCAGTGAGACTGGGGCTGGTAAGTGAAGGAGGGAGGCGGCTTGGGCTTCAAGGAAAGTGATCCCACCTCCTTTTCTTTAACACAGGGAACCAAGTTTGGCCAGTGGGACACAGCTGATTTTGAAAATGAGGACCAGAAACTGAAATTTCTCAAATTGATGGGTGGCTTTAAGAACCTCTCCCCTTCGTTCAGCCGCCCCCCTGGCATGATGGGAAGGTCCAACATGGCACTCAACAAGAAGGCGGCCGACAGCCTGCAGCAGAACCTGCAACAGGACTATGAGCGGGCCATGAGCTGGAAGTACAGCCGGGGAGCCGGCCTGGGCTTCTCCAGAGCCCCAGACAAAGTCTTCTATATTGACAGGAACGCTTCCAAGTCCATTAAGTTTGAAGATTAAACTCCTGGGTCTTGTTGGAAACAAAAAAGCCAGAATTGCTTTTCTTACTCAGTTTACACAGACAAACGCCATCTCAAAGTCGTCTGAAATTGAACAGCCATGAAGGTGAAGGCCAACTATCTTGATGTACTTGAAGGAACTGGGGTGGAGGAAGCTCGTGTTTCGTGAGCCAGGCAAACAAGTGGCTAAAACCGCCTGTTTCTGTGCTAGCCATGCCATCTGTTTTAAGACATCAGCCTGTATGATATAATAGAGAACATCTTTTGGGAGTCTGGATGTGCAAAGAGTTGGCACACTTGGCTGCTAACTGAAAGGTTGGAGGTTTGCGTCCACCCAGAGGCACCTTGAAGAAAGACCTGGTCATCTAGTCACTGAAATCCCCATCGAGTGCATTTTTGGACATACATGGGGACCTCAGGAGTTAAAAATTGATTCGATGCAAGCTAGGTATTTTTTTTACCGTTTGTCGAGTATGGGTCAGACTGTGTTTAAGAGTTTTCCCTGCATTACTGAATCTAGTCTGCATCATTGGTGCTATTATTCCTGTCTCACAGAAGACAAATCAGGTTTCGGAGGAAGTAATCCAAGTGCCCAGGGTCACCAGCCAGTAAGCACAAGTGCTGTACCTCTGCAGTGTGAGCCCTTGGTTCACTAGGACATTTTCCCTCTGGGGAAGATCACCTGCAACCTCAGGGTTACACTGTCTTAGTTTAAGAAATGTAATATGGCTGAGCGTCAAGCAGGAAGTAGAATTTGTGATAAAAGGAATAGTGTGCTATGCCCTGTCCCCCCATCTTGGGGAAGTTGCAGACCTGGAAACGCTTCCTAGCCAAGGCGCCTGCGCTTTCTATAGACACGAAATGTACATTTAAAGCCATGTTGCCCTTAGATGGAAAGTGCTGGGTTTGAGTGGCTTTTTGTCCTTTATTAACAAGACTCAGCAAAGCCTGGTTAATCCCCCAAGAGATGTCCTGGAGGTACCATGGTGAAACGCTTGGAGGTTTGACCCTTCTAGCCACGCTGCAGGAGAAAGATGGAGCTTTCTGCTTCCATAAAGATTGACAGCTCTGGAAACCCTGTGAGGCGGTTCTACTCTGGCCTATTGAGCTACTGAGTCTGACTGTAGCGGATTTGGAGTAAGGGGACTTTAATCCTCCAAGTGAGCCAGTGGCAGACTCTCAGCTGTTTAATCTTTGATCCCAAGGATCGACACAGGGACTTCTGTGATGGAGCTCCAATGCAGGCATGGCGGGGGGGGGGGGGGGGTTGACATGGGAGGGGGCCCCATCAGCTGTGGGGATAATGAGTTAGTGCCATTGTCTTCTCACTTGGACTCCCCAGCAAACCTGGAAGAGCCTCACCTCATGATGTGTGCTTACCTTCCCAGTCTGCATCCCCACATACAGGTTCTCATTGGGTTAGTTGAGCATCGCTTGACCTGAACAGGAAATTCCATGTCTCACCTAACAGGAAGTTGATTTATCAGCCCCAGGAAACATTCCTTTCCTCTCTGTTCCAATTACTCCAGTGTTGGGTCCAACAGGATGCTGAAAGAGTGGCCATAGCAATTCCAAGGAGCATATCAAGATACTAGGTGTGTTCTAGAAATCTCTGTGGCTCAAAACGAACCACAATATGCATGTCCCTGAACCTGCCCCCTAGAGAGAATAGCCTCAGAGCACCCAGTTAGAAAGGAAGAGGATGCTGGAACGATGAACAGAGTCCACCACTACCCCACCGAGCCAAGCCACCTCAGACAGCGGCCTTCCCTGGACTCTTGACCTCGATCAGCAAGGTTGTGTGCCAGAGTGGGCCCCTCTCCTCGGCATAGAAACTCGGCCTTTCAGGGGAAGCAGTGAGATGCCTAATGAACGGGGCCCTGTCAGGCCTAGAGCGGGGACCTAGGTTGCACTTGTTAGGTGTCATCTGACCCAGAGTGGCCCTTTGTAAGATTTCCAAGGAGTAGCTGGTGAGCTTGAGCCGCTGACCTTTAAGTTCAAGCCGACTTTGCAGTCCATCACATTAACCTGCAGTGCCACTCCAGGAGTCTATATGTTATGCTTAGAAAAAGCCTGTTACTTTGGGTGTGGAATGAAATCTCTCCTGATTCAGTGAAGCATTTTAGAGTGGTTAGTCCAAGGGGAGTCCTGGGGTGGTGCTGTAGGATAAGCACTAGGCTGCTAACTGCAAGGTCTGCAGTTCAAACCCCCCAGCCGCTCCTTCAAAACCCTCCAGAGGGTGGCTGAGTTGGAACTGACTGGATGGCACTTGACATCCGAGCAGGGACCCTGGTGGCACAGTGGTTAAGCACTTGGCTGCTACTGGAAAAGTCAGAAGTTTGAGCCTATTGCTGAGCAGCCCTGCAGGAACCCGCCCGCTTCTCACCCTTGCTTTGTACCGTCAAGATTACCCGTGGCTGCCTCCAGACGATTCTGGAAAGTGGACTGCACTGTCTTGCTCCCATCTTAGCCTAAAGGATGCACAAGTCTGATTGGAGGATGATGGTCAGGCCTGCCTTCCCCTTCCTGTCCCTTAGTGTAGGATCAGGCTTTGTGACTGAGTTCACCTGGTCTAAGTACAGAGTCCTGGTGTGGTGTGGTGTGGTAGGATAAGCACTCAACCACAAGGTCAGTTTGAACCGCAAGACATTCAAACTCGCCAGCCACTCCTTGGAAACCCTATACAGGGTCGCTGTGGGTCAGAACCGACTCAACGGCATTTAGCAACACAGGAATTTTGGGTGTCTGCTCCTGAAGCAGGGTCTGACAAGCAGAGGTTGGGCCACGAAGGATGCTGAGTGTCCTAGCACAGGACTGTAACCATTTCTTTCCTTGGTGTCTCAGGCAGCCATACGCTGGGGCAGCCTAGTCTGTGGGGCTAGCTGGCTGGGGCTGTTCTTTGTAAACTAAACACTGGTTTGAGTCCTTGCCCATGCCCAGTGCTGCCACCCCCCATGCCTTCACCTGGCCTTCCCATGTTCTCCACCAGAATAAAGCAACTTTAGAATTTACGTGAGAGGCCTGGCGTGAAACACGGCCAAGATCAGAGCAGCCGTGTTCTGGGATTTCTCGCTGGCCTTTCATTGGCAAAGCGCTTGTCCTCACGATCTTTGTCAGCGTCAGATTTCTTCCCACGGTATTTGGTTGGTTCTTGGCTGGTTGTGTGCCGTGGAGTCAGTTCCAACTCAGTGACCCTGTGTAAGGTTTCTGAGGCTGTAAATCTTTACGGGAGCAGAAAGCCTCATCTTCTTCCTGTGAAACAGCTGGTAGTTTGGAACTGCTGACCTTGAGGTTAGCAGCTCAACTCGTAACTACTATGCTACCAGAGCGCCTTTCCCACATTACTCCTCGGATTAATTACTATTGTCTCTGCCTTGGCCCATTACAAGTACTTTCCCCCTAAAACACTGTATTCAATTTTGACAGACTACTTCAATCAGGATTGGTTGGTCTTGTAGGCAAGTGCCCCCCCCCCCAAACCCCCCAGAAAATGCCTACATCCTAATCCCCAGAATCTGTAAATGTGTTAAATAACAAGGAAAGGGGGAGTTCAGGTGGCAGATGGCTTAATTAAGGCCGTTAATCAGTTGGCCTTGAAAGAGGGAGATGATCCTGGAATCTCTGGGTAGCTCAGTGTAATCACATCAAGTCTCTAAATGTGGAGGAGGGAGGGAGGCCGACCAGCCAGGGTCAGTGAGTGAGGTGACAACCACTCAGCCAGCCCCTCAAAGGGGCCAGGAGCCAAGGAATGCAGGCGGCCTTTAGAAACTGGAAAAGATTTATGAAAGGATTCTTCCCTAGCTGGCTTGCAAAATGTGCCCCTTGGCTGTTTAAACAATTATCTAGTGTGTTTTTATGTACACCAAAAACAACAAAAGGAGTAGAGGCAAATACTATTAACTGATAGTGCACAGAGGGGGTTGTAATCATTGCAATGAAATAAACTTATGATTGGTTGAGTGCAAAACCAATGTTCTGCCATGTAAACTATCACTCAATTCACAATAAAACCTTTATAAGAAAAAAAAAAAAATTCTCCCCTAGAGCCTTCAGGAAGGGAGACAACCTGTTCACCTTAATACAGCCCAGCAAGAGCTGATAGGACTGTAAGATACTACGTTTGTGGTAGTTTGTTACAGCACCGGTAGGAGACTCCTATGGAACTCATTTTGACCTTACTTCCTTGCTTGGATTCTTTGTTCCTCTGCCTTTCCTGATGCCGACAGACTTCATTCCAGGTAGATGGTGGTTTTGAGAGGCAGGTTTATTGATTTAGTGATGGGCTGGGGAAACTACCCAAGAACATACACTCAGAAGCTGCCTGAACAGGACAGTGGAGGACGCGGAAAGCCTGCGCCTCCTGATGTGACGATGTACACCTGGCCTGATGTGCAGACCCAGCAATATCAGCTCACATTTGTAGCCTCCAAGTGGAAGAAGTGATTTGTGCATTTGCCAGTGACCTTTCACGAAAATACATCATAGATGTAAACGTATTGCTAAGTGCCATTGAGGCACTCTGACTCAGTGAAGGAACGGCTGGTGAATTTGAACCACCGACCTTGCGGTCCAGTGCATTCTCCCACAGCGCCACACGAGACACATCATAAACGTAAACGTGGTATATAGCAAATCATTTTAATAGAGCAGTTTGGTGAAATAAAGGCCCCCTGTGAAAATTTGGATATGACCACAGTGCTTTCTGAGTCTTTTCTTGAGAAAAGAGAAGGAGAGCAGGCATTCCTAGTCTCTCTTCTCTACAGAATTTCAGGGGTAAGAGTGGGTGGGGGTGTTGTCACTACCAAGTATGCCCAAAATCCACTGTCATGGTGTATTATTAGTCTGAGCTATCCAGTATGAACATGAGTTTATATACATTAACTCTTTTTAAATCTTTTTACTTCCTGAGGTGACTTCAACTCGTGTGAACCTGCATTTTACACACAAAGGTAAAGAGATGAAATACTGTCTCTGCCCAGTTTTAGAGTTTCCCAGGACTGTAGCTTAGGGCACTTGAATCCACACGTGTATGCACTTTTCATGGGGAACAAGCTATACATCAATCAGTGTCGTCATAGAAGACTCGGTATCCACAAAGCTGGCGCTGTAAAAGTTCCCACAACTGTTTAGAATTACAGCTGAAAAGCAAGCCAGGCTAATAGGCTTGGATGTACTCTCTCCCTCCAAAGTCATGAACATGGGCTGTCCCTCCAGGACACCTGTACTCAGCTCCAGGAGACTCGCCATGGCATCCACACTGGCTCTCAGGTTTGGCCTTGTTTCCTCCTTTGACCCAAGAGCTTCCTGAACCATCTGTCTTTCATTATCCTCTAGGGGGGATATAGGCAACACTGTATTTGACTTGAGGTTCTCCAATGAGAGTGGGGGAAACCTGTGGTTCTGGGAAAGTCGTCTCCTTTCCAAGGTGGTTTCCCCAAAACGTAAAAGCAGAAACTACGGAAAACAAAGACATCCCTGGCACCTGTTTCTCTCTTGCTAAAGGGCCGTCTGGAGCTTCTTAGGGCTCACGGACACCTGACAGCCAATGGGTCAGGCCTGTGTCTGCAGCGGGAGTCTCAGGGCCAGCTCTGTCAAGTGGCTCATGTCTGGGTGTTTGCTTCGCTTCTTGATGTACTCCAGAGTTTTCACCTAGGAGAAACAGGACACGACCATTTCCTTTCTGGTTCATAATTCTGCGTCCTCGGAGTTGAAGGATCCGAGGGGCCGGCTACTGTGAGAGTTGCTAACATTATTCTAGCAGAAAACAGGTAACGTCTTTGAAGGACGAGGGAGGGGAAGAAATCAACTAAGTATAAATATAACGTACTAAGATTACAACAGCCTCTCATAAAATGAGATCAGATTGGGTGCAGCCAAGGAATGATGGATGTTGTGATATGTGTGTATGTAATCTTTGATTCAGAGGGCATCGGCTTTTTGTGCTATGCCTCCTGGGCCTAACAAGTGGCCAGCAGGAATCTTGGGCCTGAGCCCTTCTAAAGGGGACACTGGAGCGATTGGACATCCAGGTCTGATGTGGAGTTATGGCCAGATGTCTGATCCCTGGGGTCCCCTACCCCATGTGTTTGCCCTGGGACCCTCTGAGCGTCTCACCATGGTCCTGGTGTCTGCACAGCCGTGCCTCTGCGCCAGGTGCCACAGGTTGACGGCGAGCTGGTTGAGCTTGTTGTTACGCAGGTCCCCGTGGGCCAGGATGCTGTTCAAGAAGGAGAGGCCCAGCGAGCTCTGGCGCTTCAGGGCCTGAAACAGACAAGGGGGACTGACTCAGCTGGGGCCGAGGCTGTACCCAGTGCGGACCTGGGTGGGTCACACCTGGGTTCAGACGCCAGCTCTTGCCCTCCTGAGACCCTGCTTTTCCACCTGCCTCCTAGGGATCTTCTGAGGGTTACATGAGAGCATGCATATAAAGTACTTAGTTCAGCAGTTGGTAAGAAAGACGCAGACGTGAGCCACTCCTTCCAAAGATTGAACACTGTGGGATCACGACAAGAGAGATTGCCAACCAGTGCCAAGTTAAAATTTAAAACAGGTGAAACATGGCTCTTTTAAGATATACCCCCAAGCTACCTAAAATACCTACCTCTCAGCTGCTGGTCATAAAGACCAAATGACCACCAGCCTCGAGCGGAGGGCCCAACACCTGGAGCCCACGTCCAGCTTTTACAAGAAAAAACCACTGTGCACTGTAATGGAGTGCTTTTCTCTCTCGCTCAATAATACGACATCAGAGGTACTTGACTGAAAAAAGTCCAAACCTGAGCTCTAGATTTGAATGGTAGAGATAAAAGGGGAAATGCAACCTCCCAAAGATGGACAGAGGAGCCTGGGGGAGCCAGTCAACAGTGAGTCTTTGCGGTGTCAGGGAGCCCACGAGGTCCGCCTGACCTCTGGGGCAGGATGCCCATGCCTGACACCCGGGAGCCACATGCACGGGCTCTGTCCTTAATGCTTACCTCAGTCAATCTGCATGGGGACTCAGGGAGGGTCCCATGAATCTCCCTCGTTCCAACTCATAGCAACCTGTCTAAGGTTACCAAAGAGTGGCTGGTGGGTATGAACCACCAACCTTTGATTAGCAGTCCAGCACTAATCCTACTGTGCTACACCAAGAGTCCTGTATAGCGCCTCGGAAAACAGAATTCCAGTTGTGTCTGCAAGATTCCCATCCCATGGTTCTTTCAACACAGATCTAGGTACAGCTATGAAGAGGCTTTGCAGATGAAATGAAAATTGTGACCCTAAAGTAGGGAGATTATCCTGGATGATTTGAGTGGGCCCAATCAAATAACTAAACACAACTTCTCAAGCTAGAGCCAGAGAAAAGCAACGCAGGGCTGTTCAGGAGAGATGAGGTGGAAAGGGCGGCCAGACATAACGCATGGGGCAGACCTGCTGGCTTTGAAGGTGGAGGTGGGCAGAGGGGCACGAGCCAAGGAACTGGGAGGCCTCTAGTGCTAAGAATGTCCCCAGGCCAACAGCCAGCAAGGAAATGGAGACCTCAGACCTACAACCACGAAGAACGAATGTCTGCCAATACCCCACATGAGTGTGAGAGTGGATTCTCTCCTGAGCAGAACCAGGCAGCCATAACACCTTGGGTGCACACAACTGGGAGACTGTGAACAGGTGGTGGGTGGTTGAAGCCACTGAGCTTGTATTCATTTGTGAGGGCAGCAACGGGAAACTACCATGGAACACACTGCAGGTGGGTTGGCCAGGTGATGACGTAGCGTTGGACTGCTAACCACAAGGTCATTTGTTGGAACCTACTAGCCACTCAGTGGGAGAAATTTGAGGTCCTCTGCTCCTGTAAAGATTTACAGTCTCAGAAACTCTACAGGGTCACTCTGAGTTAGAATAGACTCGATGGCAGGTTAGTTGGTCCAACCACCACAGCGAGCGGGTGGCAAAGCCCCAGCTGTCAGACTCCAGCAGAGTCTACACTGAACCCCACCACCACCACCCCATAGACTTCCAGCAGAGTCCACACTGAACCCCACCACCTCCACCCCACAGACCTCCAGCAGCCCCAATTAAAGTCAAAAAACCATTGCCATTGAGTTGATTTTGACTCACAGTGAGGGGCAAGAGGCCTACCAACTGCCTAGTCTGGATTCATTCAGTCTACCAATCCTGTGCTATGGGGGCCAGGCAGAGAGGCCCACTCAGCAGTTCCAGTCCAGTCTGCCCACCTTTGAAGCCGGTCCTCGTCAGACTCTTAGGACAACAGGCCGACCCCATTCTCCACTTATATCTAGAGGACCAACTGAAAGGAAAATTTTTATTCAATTCAAATAGTCTTTCCTCAGCGAAGCCTCTAACTACATTTCATTGAAGTCGGAAAGACTTTCTTCAAGGTCAGACAAGGAATACAATCTTTTGAGTGGCTATTTCTCCACACTATTTTCTGAGTATGCATTTTACCCTAAAACATTTCAATTCATGTGTGTATTACATGCCAGAGCCCCTCAAAAAGTAGGTTGTTCGAGCCAGGTGTGGGGGGAACAAGCATACCACCTGATATTCTGAATCTCAGAAAAACAGGAACACGTTACTGAGAGAAATCAAATCAAGACCTGAAACCAGTTCTTCTTCACAGGGGATTAAACAGTTTCTTTTTATTCTTTCCCTGAGCAAATTACTATTTCCAGGACGTTTGAAAGGCCTGGCCAGGTGCCCGGCTTTTCCACACCCATTTCCAGGTCATAAACAACGTCACAAAGCTCCTTCGAGCGGATGGAGAGCATGTTTGGGATTGTGGCAGTGAGACCAGTGCTGGGGAGGGGGGGCGTGAAATGTTCAGAACAGCAGCTGGAAGTGGCCTTCACGACTTCGACTTTGGGGCCCTCTCCTTGGGCAGCAAGTCTGGTGCTTTGGGGTAAGTTCACCCCCGGGACCCCTTTGCTGAATTTCTCAAATGGAGGAATGGTCCAACTCTATTTTTTATCCTATTAAATGTGCACAAGGACAGATGTTTACATGAGATGCAAAGTCCTCTCTTCTTTCTGAATTCGGTTTCAGTCACTATCACCATCACTAACCAGAGAAAAGACAGGAAGGTTAAATGAAGAGAGTGCCCAAGTCTAAGTTTCTGGGCTTTCTTATTACTGTGTGTGTGTTGGGGAAAGGGGGCTGTCCTACAGTCTTTCATGATGTCATGGCCACACCGCTATTAAACCCAGCCTGTGAGTAAGAATGGAGAAATGTCTTTTCAAACCACCCTGCACATTTTCCCTGGAGGCAACTTGCCAAACAGACATCACTCCTCTAGGAGTTCCCTGGGCTAGAGGAGGGAGTCAGGGCGAGGAGCCAAGCATCACCTGTTCACTGGGACAGGCATCTAGGGGAGCAAGGTCAAGCTGAGGTGGGGGATGCACACTTCTCCTGCAGGAATCAAGGGCATGCTCCTGAAACCATCTAAACAGAGATAAAGGAAGACATGGTCCTTAAGCCCCGAGAAGAAGAGTCCTTTGGACCAGCACAGAGACGCAGAACTGCCCCCTAGTCTCCTAGGCTGTAACCTCTATAGAAGCAGGTCACCAGGCTTTTCTCCCATGGAGCCGCTGGGGGCGGGTTTCAAACTGCCAACCTATTGGTTAGAAGCCAGGCACTTACTTAACCAGTGCACCACCAGGGCTCCTTGACCACACATGTCTACCGAAGGCCTTCATTTGCCAGGGTTGCCTCTTCTAATACAGATGTGATGAAGCTGTTGTCTTGGAGCAGTTGGGGTTCTAATGCTGACTCCTCATGGACCGTCAGGTGCCCTCTCAGCACTGACTTCCTCAGTGTCTGGGCACCCACATGGCAGCCTCAGTCTGGCTGCTAGCTCCCAGTGTCCCTTTGGGTTCAATGATTGGCTGGAGAGCTTGCAGAACTCACAGCGAGCACATCATACTAACCAGGACAGGTTTATCAGAGTCGAAAAGGATGCAAACCAAGAGACGCAGAAGGTGAGGTCTGGGGGTCTCCCCACCACCTCCCAAGAGCATGTGCTCTTGCCGAACAGGCTGCTCCCAGAGCCTTGGTGTTCACGGGGATGCATCCACACACTCTCCTGCCTGGAGATGGTGCTCTGAGCTGAGGCCCAGGGCAAAAACTTCTCAGTGCTGTTAACCTGCTGACCCTAATGCAGGCGCCTGAAGCCATGTGCCTGGATTTAGCAGAGACCCCTGGGAAACAGCACCCCCTTCCTAGTCTTTCATCTGCACTTGTCTGACTACCTGCAGAGATGGGTCCCAAATGGTACTGTCTGTCCGCATCACTATGACTTTCTTGGGGGAATGGGAAAGGAGGTGAAGGGCAGGGATGGCATTTAATCGAGTCTGGAAATGTGCAACAATTAAGATCCCATTTTATCTTGTGTCTTCCAAGGGTAGGAGCAAGGGAAGCAAAGCCTAGGGTTAAGTAATAACCTACGGATGGAAGCAAATACTGTTGAATGATGATGCATGGAGGGATTGTAATCATTGCAGTGAAACAAAATACGATAGGATGAATGTAAAGATGATGCTCTCCCATGTAAACTATCACTCAATTCACAATAAAAACTTAAAAAAAAAACAAAAACAGAAAACAAACAATGGTGTAAAGCCAATGTTCTCCCACGGTAAAGTATCACTCAGTTCACAATTAACCTTAAAAAAAAAAAAAGAATGAACCCAGGAAAGCCTAGCTGACCCAAGGGCAGGACGCAGAGATGGAAGGCCCCACCCACCTTCTCTCCTGCCCTCCTTGATGACAGCAGGAATCAGTCTCAGCCTCGGTGCAGAGAGGAAACCTGCCTGGATCAGAATGGGCCAAGTGACCCAGCCAAGCCTGAGACAGGGAGTGGGGCCCATCTGTCACCCACACGTTTGGGCCAAAGCTGCAAAAATGGAACCAGGGCAGCATTACTTGGATGGAAATTATACTGAAACCAAACAATCAGCTATCTATCTACATAGAAAAAAACTATATTTTTAAACCACTCTTAAAATATAAAAGCTGTAACATTAGATAACAGAATACACTTGGGGGGTGACAGTGTGGGTTCCAGAGGACTGCTGTGACCACATTACCCAGACACCTCTCCAGGGTTCCGTTTTCTCAGAAGTAAGGTCAACACACCTGCCCCAGCTCTGTGTGTGGGCAGGTGTGCATTTCACACACAAATGGCACCTAGTCTTTACAAAGAGCTTGAGACACAGAGCCCGCGGCGGTCGGCTCACAACCACTGCTGCTTCTGAGCAGTACCTGCAATGCCTTGGCTGCGGAGGACAAAGGAGCGGCTAAGAGTCCCGGGAGGATCCCTCTTGTTCTACTGCAATCAGAGGGGTACTGGGCCCAGGTTTCCTTTTCTCTTCAACAGGAATCAACATAATAGCTACATGCTGCAGGGCTGTGGTGGGCACTGAAAGGGCTGAGGTGTGGGAATCACACGCTAGGATTCATTCCGCGGGTACTGACTGCTGTATGCCTGGCTGTGTTGGAGGTGTGGTGACTGATGGATTGGCTGATCATCAGTCACAGGCAGGTCTCCAAGGCCCCTGTTCTCACAGAGCTGACATTCTTGTGGGAGAGGATGACCAGTAAGCACATCCAGGACAGTCTGGGAAGGTAGTTAAGTGTTTACTGGAGAGGGAGGAAGCACATTGCAAACAGACAAACAGAGGGGTAAAGGGCCTGAGCAGCTGGCCAAAGGTCTGCACATAAACACATCACTCCTGGCCAGAAAGACTCCCAAACGACCCTAGCACACGTGCGTCCCAGTAGGAGCGGGCAGGGGGCACCCACCTCGTCCTTGGCCAGGGCTTTCAGGTGCTCCAGAATCTGCGCCATCACCGCCTCACACAGCTTGTTGCTTTCTGCCAGGAACTGGATGTCCCCCCCGTAGAGGCTGTCGTTGGAGTCCACTGATAGAACAGACAAGAGCCATGAGACACGGCCACCAGTGATGACAGACAGCAGGAAATCGTGAGGGTAGAGGGAAATGGCCAATGTGTCCCATAAACATGACACCTGGCTTGTTGGACGATGTGAACCGGAGGTGCAGTGGTGTGGACGCCATTCCCCACACCAGGAGACCACAGTCAGCACTACCACGGTGGCCCTTAAGAGCAGCAGCCATTGCTGAGCGCCTGCCTCCTGCCAGTTTTATGTGCATAAGTCCAGGGTCCTCCCAATCAGCCTGGGTGGGGAAACAAGTGGAGGCATTCCCAGTGGGGACACTTGCTGCCTATCCTGTGATCCCTCCCCCTCCTCAAAATAGCCTTGAAGGGGCCACCCGAGTGCTTTGATCAGCAACTTGCAAAACTTGAACCCACTCTGATCATTTCTGGTGACAATCACTGCAGAATGAGCCCTGCCCCAGCCACGTCTGCCTCAAGTGTGAGCTCGCTCCCTTGCCTACTGATTGACCTTCACTAACAGTGCCATCAACTCTGGGTGAAGAGAGGAAAGGGGAGCAAGCAGTAGGAGTGGGCATAAATACACTGCTTTGCACTTCGCTTTTTTTACTTAATACCATATCTTGGAGCTATTTCTCTATTAACAGGTACTGACCCACTGTGTCATTTTTAGGGCCTGAATTGTATTCCACCGTATGGTTGGCTCATAACGTAGAGATCTGGTCCTTGCCAATGGATACTAGAGTTGTTCGGTTTTCCTCCTTTGGGCTAAGGCCAGCCTCCTACAAAAGCTTTAGAGGCTGTACCAATCCCTGACCTTCACCACAAAGCTCTGACCTTGACGTCCATCCTTCCTCCCATGGATGTTCCAGCTGTCTGAGCTCCGCTCCCAAACTGGCCTGCACGTCATCTCGCTTTCTCTGAGGAGACTATTCAATGTCACATGCACACTCCACCCCTTCGTCACACACACAGCATGAAGCAGTCACAAACAGGGGACCTGCAGATGCAGCTGCTCCTGCTCAGACACCCGCCTAAATCAGGCTCAGCCACAGGGACACTTACTGCCTCAGGGCAAAGAGAACTTGGCTCCCTGCTCCCCAGTATCTGCAGCCCCATTCCTAACTCCCTGTGGACAGAAACACTTCCAGGCCATGGCTCTCAGAGGACTCTGGGTGGGGTGAAGGGCCCCGAGCTGCAGCGGCCAGGCCCATGTCTGGATTTCAGAGACACTGTCTGGCTGCTGCATGGTGGCTGCTCTCTGTGATGCCAAGCATGGGGTGATTCTTGTAAAAAGACCAAGAATTTGGTCGAGGCATTTGCCACCCCCAGGTTTTGCAGGGCAGCAAAACTGTAGCTGTTGAAGAAATTTCTCATGTCTCTGCTGAGGACCAGAATAGTATCTGGGATAAATTCCCCGGATTCCTCTGGAATCCACTGTAGAAGCCACTCTTATGTGACCACCAGCGTACTAGAGGAGAGAGGTCAAGGACCACTTGTGGCCAACCACCCCATGGTCACCTGCCCGAGCCACAGCCTCCTTCCCATGGGGCTAGAGGTGTGTTCAGAGTGCACACGCTCACGAACCCCCCCACATACACACACACACACACACACACACACACACACACCAGCCCACTCCTCTCTCCCTTACTACTGAATGACGGCCTGCTCTGGACTATTGGGGAGGCAGACCAGGAAACAGGCCAACACTGTGGGGTGTGTGTGTGTGTGTGTGTGTGTGTGTGCCCAGAGGAGACGATCATGGGGGTTTGGATGAAAACGTCGGCTTGGAAAGGGCCCCTGGAAGCAGTGAGCTAGTGCAGGGGGCTAAAACCAGAATGTTCCTGAGAGGAGAGGATGGCAACTCTTACTTTGGACATGTCCTCAGGAGGACTGGTCACCAGAAAAGGCCACCCATTTTGGTGAAATGGACGACCAGTGAAAATGAGGGGAATCCTCCTTCGGATGGGCCAACACAGGATCAAAACCAGAGACGGTGCAGGTCTGAGCAACACTGTCTTGTGTTTGTTGTACTGACGAGTCGGAGCCAACCCAACAGCCACTAGCAAAACAAGCTAAGCTCCAACGGGTGAGTTTACGAGGGAAGGTGGGAAAAGGTGCCAGGAAGAGGGCACGAGGTGTCCATGCTAAGACTTGATGGAAAGAAACCAAAGGGCACACTGCAGAATTCGAAGTAATTCAGTCAGGCCAATGGGTAGGTGGGCCTGAGAGTCTAGACGTGGTTCTCAAAAAAAGGAGAGAATGAAGTCCCTGGCAAATGGCCAGTAAAAATAACCCGTGATCTCGGCATCTGTCGGGCCTGGGGTCACAGATGTGGATGCTTCAAGGGCCTGCAAGATGGCGGGAATGAGTGGAGGGGTAGTGAAGGCCACTCTGGACTATACTTAAGGTCTCCTTTTCCAACAAAGATATTCTCTAACTCATATGAAATCAGTACACACTCAGTACGCGGGGATCTTCACTTCTCCATCAAACACACTCAATGTCGCATCCCCCAGGTCATTCCAAACCGTGCCCTTTTTATTGATCTGAAAAGACGAGCCGCTATCACAGCAGACACGCAGAAATCAGTGAAGCCCTCAGCAGTTTGGACCGGGGTCACCCGTATCTAAAAAGCTGCCGTGACTAAGAAAGAGAGTTGAGACATGGAACACCAGTCGCTGCAGACTCACGGGCAGCTAGCTCCCTGCATCACTCTCCTATGACAAGGCTCCATCACATCGTGCCTCCAAAGTAAACACAGCTGGATTCACAAGAAGGAAAAACCACCCAGTCTTCTGTCTTCATCTTGAAAAGCTAGAAAACTCAACTCCTTGCCTATCAAATATCGCCCCCGCTCCCTCTTCTGACAATTGGTTCCTGCAGTCTGTCCTGGCAGGTTTGTTTCGAAAAAGAAAACACTGCATCTCCTTGAGGAAGAGGAGAGAGAGAGAAGGGGACAGTCTGCTCTGCTGGCATGTCCTACAACGTACAGCCCACCCCACGTCAGGGTCTGCTACTCCCGCATTTCTCTATCGTTCAGACCCTTCAGCATGCAGAAGGGGGAGGTCAAAATGCCAAGAAACACAGGAAAAGGGGGTCAGCCTCACTCATGATCAGAGAACTATGCACGAAAAGCATTCCTCACAAGAACTTCAATAGAAACACTGATCATACAAAGGGTCGGTGAATATCTGGAGCAACTAGAATGCCCATCCCTGCCTGGTGGGAGTGTGAACTGGTATCATCATTCTGGAAAGCTGTTAAACGGGAGCTACCAGAGTTGAATATAAGCAAACCTTTAAAGTAAGCATATGTCTGACTATGCTGGAAATGTCAAATTCAAGAGGAATGGCATCACATTCATCTTCACAAAGAACATTTCAAAATCAATCTTGGAGTACAGTGTTGTTGACTGTGATAGGTTATCCATATGCCTATGAGGAAGACCAAGAAACCCTGATCGTGTAGTAGGGATTAGGAGCTGTGCTGCTAACCACAGGGTCAGCAGTTCGAATCTACCAGGTAGCTCAGCAGGATAAAAGATGAGGTTTTCTGCTTCCATAAAGGTTTACAGCCTTGGAAACCCCATACAGTGTCACTATGGGTAAAAACAATCTGGTAGCACACAGCCACCACCAAAAAGAGGCCCAGTTAATACCACTATTATTCAAATTCACACACCAACCACTGAAGCCAGTGAGGATGAAGTTTAAGAATTCCGCCAACTTCTTCAGTCTGAAATTGATCAAACATGCAATCTAGATGCATTGATAATTACTGGTGATTGGAACGCAAAAGCTGGAAGCAAAGAGGATGAGTAGTTGATAAATATGGCCTTAGTGACAGAAACAATGCTGGAGAACACATGACAGAAATTTGTAAGACCAATGAGTTATTCATTAAAAATACCTTTTTTAAAAAAAACATAAAAGCAATTACACACACGGACCTCACCAGATGGAATGCACATCTGTGGGAGGAGGTGGTGGAAAAGCTCCGTATCATCAGCCAAAACAAGGCCAGGGGCAGACTGTGGTTCAGACCATCAATTGCTCATATGCAAGTTCAGGCTTAAGCTGAAGAAAATTAAAACAAGCCTGTAAGAGCCAAACTATGACTCTGAACATATCCTACCTGAATTTAGAGACCATGTCAAGAACAGATGTGATGCATTAAACACTAATGACCAAAGATCAAAAGAATTGTGGGATGACATCAAGAACAGCATACAAAAAGAAAGCAACAGATGGTAAAAAAGACAAGAAAAAATAAAAAAAAATCAGAGTGGATGCTAGAAGAGACTCTGAAACGTGCTACTGAATGTAGAGACTGGAAGAAATGAGGCCATACAAGAGCTGAACAGAAAACTACACAGGGCAGCTCGAGAAGACAAAGCATTATAATGAAATGTACAAGAACCAGGAGTTAGAAAACCAAAAGGGAAGAACATGTCAGCATACCTCAAGTTGACATGCAAGACTGAAGGACTCTATGGCAAAACACTGAATGATGCAGAAAGCATCAAAGGAAGATGGAAGGAATACAAAGTCACTCTACCAAAAAAGAAACGATTGATGTTCAATCATTTCAGGAGCTTATGGTACTGAAGGAAGAAGTCCAAGCTGCACTGAAGGTACTGGCGAAAAACAAACTCCGAGAATTGATGGAATACAAGTTGAAATCTTTCAACAAACTGACGCAGTACTGGAGGTGCTCACTCATCTAAGTCAAGAAATTTGGAAGCCAGCTTCCAGGGCAACCTATTGGAAGACATTCATATTTGTGCCCATTTCAAAGAATAGTGACTCAATAGAATGAGGAGATCATCAAACAATATCATTAGTATCACATGCAAGTAAAATTTTGCTAAAGATGATTAAAAAATAGCTGCAGCTGTACACTGACAGAAAACTGCCAAAAAAGCCAAGCCAGATCAGACGAGGATGTGGACCAAGGACTATCACTGCTGATGTCAGAATGATCTTGGCTGAAAGCAGAGAATGCCAGAAAGATGTTTACCTGTGCTTTAGTGACTATGCAAACGCTTTTGACTATGTGTGGATCATGATAAACTATGAATGACATTGTGAAGAATGGGTATGCCAGAACACTTAATTGTGCTCACCAGTAACTTGTACATAGACCAAGAGGCGGGTTTTCTAATAGAACGAGGGGGCACTGAATGGTTTAAAATTAGGAAAAGTGTGTGCCAGGGTTGTGGCGCAATAGGATAAGCAGTGGAATACTAACTGTGAAGTCAGTGGTTCAAATCTACCAACCACTCTTTAGAAACCCTGTACAGAGTCGATATGACTTGGAACCGACTTCGTGGCACTTAACAATAACAACAACAAACTCAATCTGTATGCTGAGCAAATCATCTGAGAAGCTGGATTAGCACTGGATTGCTAACTGCAAGTATGGTGGTTCAAACCACAAAGTTGGTGATTCAAGTTCACCAGCCGCTCCTCAGATACCCTATACAGGGTCGTTATGAGTCAGAATTGACAACCACAACAATCTTTATGGAAGCAGACCGCCACATCTTTCTCCTATGGAGTGGCGTGGTGGTTTGAACTGCTGACCTTTGATTAGCAATGAGCACTGAAGCAATGTGCTACCTGGGGCCCCTACACCGCATGCGCTGCATGTACATCAAGTAACATTTGTAACAATGTTCACAGTAGTGTTATTCATAATAAACCCAACCTGCAACTAGAATATATACATGACCACTGTGTGGGAATGGGTATAGTTGTACAATGGCATAGTATACAACAACGAAAAAGGATAAACAATGGTCACCCACAACACACATAAATACTGAGAAAAGAAAAGAGGCCAAACATCAAAGAATGCTTGCCAAATGATTTCACTGACAAAAAGTTCTAAACCTGGCAAATGTACTCATGTGTATCTTTGGGAAATAGAACACTGATGTTGGCTGGTAGGGGCATGAGGGGACCTCTAAACAACGAGCATCATTCTATTATGTTTTTTCTTTACTTAACATTTAAACACTGAGATATAATTCACATGACATTCACCCTTTGAAAGCACACAATTCAGTGGTTTTCAGTATATTCACAGAGGTACACAATCACCCATCACTACGTCATTCCAGAACAGTCCCATCATCCCAGAAAGAAATCCCACATTTCTCAGCAGTAATCCCACTGTCTCCTCCCTCCTGTCCCCACAACCACTGATTTACTTCTTGTCTCTATGGATTTGCCTATGAATGAAATCATCTATTTTATGAATGAAATCATCTATTTTATGGCCGTTTGCATCTGGCTTCTTTTACTTTCAAAGCACGCTGGTTGTACCATGTACCAGTATCTGATTCCTTTTTATGAAATGTTCTAGGTCCTGATCTGGGGAGTAGCTATCCGAGTGTATTCACTTGGTGATAATTGACTTTATGTTTTATGGTATACGTATTACACAAGCATACCTCAGATATATTGCGGGTCTGGCTCCAGACCGCCACGGTAAAGTGAGTCACGTGTGTTCTGGTTCTCCAGGACACATAAAAATTACATTTAAGGGGCCCTGGTGGTGCTGTGAGTTAGGCATTGGGCTGCTATCCACAGGGTTGGCAGTTCAAACCCACCAGCCACTCTGTGGGAGAAAGATGAGGCCGCCTGCTCCCATATTTACTATTTCAGAAACCCTACATAATCCTATATACAACCTCTATGAACTGACTCAATAGCACTGAGTTTAGTTTGGTTTCTTTCCTGGTGTGGTGCTATAGGATAAGCATTGGATTGCTAACCAAAAAATCAGTGGTTCAAATCCACCAGCCACTACTCAGAAACCCTATCCAGGGACTGGATTTGATGGCACTGGTGTGGTGCTGACAGACCTGCTCAACAACAAGGCGGACACAAACTTTTCATCTGTAACAACTGCAGTAACTGCAAAGCACAATCATGCAGAGTGCGAGCAAGTGAGGTGCCGGGGCAGGGGGTCCAAAAAGTTCACGGAAAAGTCTAGTAACTTTTCATTCTATTAGTCCATGAACTGTGAAGGCCCTGTGTGTGTCACACAGTCTGGGCCTGAGTCTCACATCCACCCCCTCGTCTTTCGGAGACCCCCCTTCGCTCACAGGTAACACGAGGCGGCACATGTGCCGGTGCTTGCAAACGTGAAGTGAGGATAAGGGGGTAAAGGCCCATGGAGCCTGACAGTCTCTTACAATCCCCCGCAAACATGTTCACTGAAATTTCCAACCCCAGAGACAGTTTTAAGCCCTGAGGTTAATAGTTACTGACAGAAGCGCTGTTCACGTCAGGGCCATTTCTGAGAAACCAAGAATTGGACGTGAGGGCCTGGCAGGCGGGAGACAGTTGAGCTCAGTGCGCAGAGGCCTGCAGTTGGGACAGTCCTGTGTTACACACATCCATGGCATGAGGTTCCTCAACTCCAGAGGCACAGAGAGAAAAGGCCAGCTCCCTCTCCCAGAACTCAGGACCTCATGTTTGCCGCTCCTCAGGCCACACACCACGGCCCCATTCCAGGCCTGGGTTGAAGCTCAAGCAAGTGTAATATAACCATATTTCTGGGCTATTCTGTAGCCAAAAGAGAACGTGGATCCAAAAGGCATTTTTCTCCAAACATGTTAGATTGTCAAAAGACATTTTTCTCTAAACCTGTCAGAGCTGAACGACTTATTACAGATACAAATTCTCAGGCCCTTTCCTGAGGGTTCATGATTTAGCGGGGTTTTCAGAGCTCCCTCAGGTAATTCTGATGATCAGGCAGATTATAGAAACCCCAGAATAGAAGCTCATGGTT